GGTATTTTCAGAATTCCGAACAACCACCTGTGTGCAGAGAAAAGTTGTCGTTTGTGCTGGGAAATTTTGGGATTTTTACTTGGAGCAGACAAGCTAGCGTAGGACGCAGATAGGATATACCTGGAGAGGTATGTGGCGAGACAGTTTGGTGAGGGCTCAGAGCCCCCGTTTTTCTCGTGAGTTCGGGGCACTCTCTCCTTCCGCTCTCTCTCCCTTCGTGCCTTCTCTATTGCGTGCTAATTCAACCAGTTAAACAGCAGCCCCAAGTCCGCACGGCAAGTACTGTTGCCAGAGCTCACGAACACGCTAGCGCTTCTTCCCGGGAAGATCTGCTTTGACAGAGCGGACCATGGCGTTGAATCAGGGTGACGCCGGGGTTCCAGCAGCCAGCGTCAACGACGCTGAACTGGACGCTCGGTTGACTGGCATGGAACAGCGGTTAGGCGAAGCGATGGAAGGCAGGATGCAAGCCATGATACGCAGGTGATGAGCCAGCTTCCATCGTTGATGAGGGGAGCGTTGGATGTTTGTTGGAGGTGTTCAGCAGGAGGAGGAGTCCGGCGGTGACGTAGGGGCATCGACAGGGGCCAGCGGTGACGCTGCCGCCCCGAACAGCAGCCAGGGGTCCGCCGCGACGGGCACAGTGGGTGTAGGCGGCTACGGCAGAGGATATGGCTCCCAAGGTGAGGCAGCCGCAACCGGCGGTGGCGTTGGTGGTGTTTTCGTCAGCGGTGATGTCGCTGGTGAGGGTCTTTTCACGGGAGGCGGCGGAATTTCGAAACTCGCCGCGTCTCACGTAAACCCACCACAGCTAAAGAAAGGGGCCGAGCAGTACCCGGGGTGGAGGCAGGATATGATCGTGCAGGCAGGCATTCTCGACATAGGCGATGTGTTCTCCGGCGGCGGGGTGCTGCCGGACATCAACAAGCCACAGACCGCCCTTCTCGAGCAGGGGTTTTCGTATGCAGCAATCCGCAAGACGTATCTGGCGTGGAATTTCCTCTCTGCCGCGTTGACTACTGAGACGGACAAAGCCATCCTCCGTCGTTGCACGAACCCAAGGGAAGCCCTGCGGCAACTAGATGCGGCATACTTGCCGGAGACACAGGGTGCACAGCAGCAGCTTTTCAGAGAGTTCCAGCAGTACCAGACTCCTCGGAAGGAGAACCCCGTCGCCAGTTTGAACAAGCTCATGGGTATGGCCAACATGATGCGGCAAGGGGGCGGAGCCACGGTAAACGACCAGTTCGTGTTCGCCCGCTTATCGATTCGCTGCCCAACCCCGAATACGAAGTCACCGAGCAAACATTGTCGGTGGTCCAACCGCTGACGAGGGATATCCTTGTACAACAGCTCTCAACCCGATTTAACCTTCTCACCGAGGAATGGAGGAAGGAAGGAGAAAAAGGATCCGGGGGGGAGCAGGCGTACATTGCGGGTGACGGCACCGGGAAGGGGCGGCAGGCTGGCGGCGGCCGCGGCAGTAAGAGCAACGGCCGTGGCAGCAAGAAGAAGGCGGGGACGGACGACCGGGTCGACCACCGGAGGTGTTTCCGGTGCAACCACCGCGGGCATAGGANCGAGCAACGGCCGTGGCACCAAGAAGAAGGCGGAGACGGACGACCGGGTCGACCACCCGAGGTGTTTCCGGTGCAACCACCGCGGGCATAGGAAGCCCGACTGCACCACTAAGAAGGAGGACTTCCTGGATTCAGTGCGACACGTGTTCGAGCTTTGGGCACAACAGTCACTCTACCATCCTGCTTTCCACCGCCTCCTATCCCGCAGATGGAGTGCGCACCGTCAATTGTGCGACTTTCATGGCCCCTCTGTCCATGCTGTGCTTGCGCGCCACGGAGGAAGCGTGCATGGCGGTAGTGGAGCATGCCAACTTCTCGGTGGTGAGTTTCGAAGAGCAGTACGACCGCGCGTAGGAACTGTGCAAAATGGATCCTAGTTGGGAGAAGCTGACCGAAGACGAGAAGGAAGCAAAGGTGCAGGAAGTGATGACTGAAAGTTTCTAGGGTGGACAGGTGGTGTTGCTAATACGGTACGGCAGGTTGGCCGTAGGCCCTCAGCGCCGCTGATTTGCGGTGGGGGGGCCGGACGAAGTCGCGCGGAGGTGGCGCGCAAGCACAGCATGGACAGAGGGGCCATGAAAGTCGCACAATTGACGGTGCGCACTCCATCTGCGGGATAGGAGGCGGTGGAAAGCAGGGACGGTAGAGTGACCATTGGGCAGAATAGCCGGAGACACCCTACCATGGATTGACCGCGCGACGGCGTGTGGGGGGTGGGCGCCGCACTCGCTTGACGCGGGCGGTGTTTCCTCTTCTAAGTTGATCACAGGCACGGCAGAGTAGCCGTGCACGCCCTACCACGGTTGACACGCGCGACGGCGCGTCGGGGGGTGGGTGCCGCATCACGCGTGAAGCGGGCGGCATTTTTCAACCACAGCACGGACGGAGGGGCCGTGGCTGTCCTGCCTTGCCGTTTGGAGCCGGGGGGGTAGCACTTGAAGTCGCGCGGAGATGGCGCGCAACCCAGCACGGACGGACGGGCCGTGGCTGTTCTGCCTCGTCGTTGGAGCGGGGGGTCGCAGCATGTTTTGTCGCGCGGAGGTGGCGCGCAACCATCAGCCGGAGGTGGGCATTTGGGGTGGGGCACAGCGACATGGTGGTGTCATCAAAGTCGCGTGGAGAGTCGCCGCGCGCATTTCATAAGCCGGGAAGGGACGATGGAAATCGGGATCGGCAGGATCGACTTGTGGACGATCGAGGGCGCGCTTCATCTTCACGATTGGAACTGGTGGAGTGGACGGGCAAGCTTGATAATTTTTTCTTGTGTTTTTCTTTTTTCGACGCCAGTTTACGGGTGTCGGTGAAATCCGAATTTTTCAAGCGTTCTTGATCTTGTTTCGTTATTTTTTGTCGTTTCTTTTGACCGGTAATTTTTTTTTTTTTGCCGAATCCAGTGGTAATTCCCACGTGTACGTGTTGTCGTTGTACATCGTGATGTACGCTTTGCGCTTCTTGACCATTATTTTTTGTTGTGTCGAGGGCTCATATCGGTGACAGGTGTGTCGGTGATGGTAGCAAAGTGGGGGGGGATGAAAACGTGCACGTTGGTAGAATTTGCCACCATATTTGATGCGTAGTTCATGAAGGTTCAATCGCAAGTTGATGCATTCTTGGTTGAAGGAAGATCGAGGTTTTTGACTGTTTGCAGATTGCGGGCCTTGTTTGAAGGAGGCTTGACGTTTTGTTTCTGAAGATGGGATTCGTGGAAAACCGGTTGTGTATTTGTCCTTCAGCAGAAACAGGATGTTTGTGGTTTGATTTGGTGGTGGATCGCGCTTGGTTGATCCCAAAAGAGGGAGAACGTACCTGTCTGATGAAGTTTTGATGCGGAATGCAGTTAGGCAGGGAGGGCGTTGCCCGTACATGTGTGTGATACACGAATCAGTGTTGGTGCTGCACAAGGATCTTGTTTCATCATTCAAGAAGGATTTTGCCAGGAGCGTACCTCGTGGTTGGAGAGTAGAGCGTTGCTTAGAAAATCGTAATCCGCATGTTTGGTGTAAGTCGCTTTTGTTTTGATCTTGCAGTACAGCCGTTGGAATCATAGATGACATGGACGGTTCGTTTGATTTTGTTTGAGGCGTTGGACTTCGAGGGGTTTTGATCCGGCGGCCGGGTTTCCCCTTGGTTTTATTTTCTTCGTTGTGTTTCAGCTATTTTGGCATAGTTCCGACGCACGAGTGGTTCTTCGATGGTGCAAAGAACCAGGGAGGGTGTTCGTACGTAGGAGTAGACAAGCCAAAAGTAGCCGTTACGTAGGACGCAGATAGGATATACCTGGAGAGGTATGTGGCGAGACAGTTTGGTGAGAGCGCGGAGCCCCCGTTTTTCTCGTGAGTTCGGGGCACTCTCTCCTTCCGCTCTCTCTCCCTTCGTGCCTTCTCTATCGCGTGCTAATTCAACCAGTTAAACAGCAGCCCCAAGTCCGCACGGCAAGTACTGTTGCCAGAGCTCACGAACAATTCTGTGCCTTGATATCTTACACGGGACCAATTCCTTACTATCAAATTCTTCATCCACGTCCTCTGCCGTAAGATGGAACGGAGGCGCCAACTCTCAAAACTTATTCAACACATTGCTTAAGCCCCACGGCAAAAACCTAGGTCTATACTCGTTCTCGTGCTGAGTATAACACTTCTTACACCGATATACCGACACCCTCTCGTTAATGTTCTTTCCTGGGTCATCCTTATTCACGTCCAAAAACAAAATACAAAATCTTCGGGCCCACCTTTTCTCCATCAAGACCATCCACTGGACCCACGATTAACACCTTATCCGGGCCGGTCCAATCGTGTGCCAACTTCGGGATCAACGCGAACGATTTTGCTTTAACCCTACTATTCACTCGCGATTTAAGCACGTGCCCCCCCCCACCAGAAATCGTACTCTTCTCATCATACACCAAGACCCAGACCCCCTCCTTATACTTCGGCCTCTTTCCTATTATCGAGTTCAACACCTGATTGCTCTTCTCATGCTCAGCCTTGGCTATCTTATCCTGTTCTCTTACTAGCTCGTACGCCTTCCTCTGCTTATCCCTCATAAAATTCAGGTAATCCAATTGGTCTTGCTTTTCGCCCTGATTTCCCAAGTCGCCCCTACCCTCCAAGATCGTCATCGGCAACCTCGGGTATCTTCCGATGTGTACTATGTTTGGTGCTAACCCCGTCCCTCGGCTCACGTTATTGTTGTGTGCCGCTATCGCGTGTGGCAACATCTCATCCCAGTTCGCCTGATCATCCGCAACCAAGTGCGACAACATTTGACACAACGCGTGGCTTAACCGTTCAACCATCCCATTCGTCTGCGGATGAGAAGAGCTAGTCATCTTCTTCACCGTCCCCAGCATCTTATATACCCCTTTCACTACCTCATTTGCAAACTCTGCTCCCCTATCCGACAACATGGTGTGCTTACAAACCCACCTCGCAATATAATCGTTCACCATGATGGACAAAAGACTCTTCGCATTCTTTTGCGCCTTCGTTAGTGGGTACCCCTCGGCATGTCTGCTGGATTAATCTACCACCAAGAACACATACTCGTTGTCTTTCGCCATTTTCGGCAACGGACCCAAATAATCAAACGACACCGTCTGTCCCGGTCTGCTCGGAAGAGGCAACGACACTAACGGCCAACACCTTGTATGCCGCGGCACTTTCCGAAACTGACAAGAATAACACCTACGGATCCACCAACGTACGCTTTCCGCCATTCCTATCCACCAACACACCCTCTGTAGAATACCTAGAGTCACTTTCTCTCCCAAATGCACTGCTTCTCTGTGAGTGCAATCCATGACCCATGGTCTCAACATCCTAGGCATTTGTGTCCGAACGGACTCTTCACCTACCCACCTCTCAAACTGCCCTGGATTTCGATTTGGATTTCCCACAGGAGCTTTCGATCCTTCCCTCACCAACAATCGCTTCGAATTCGGCAATACCAACAAAGTACCCTGTGCCATCAACCGCCTCAACTCATTCAAATCTACATCTACATTTTTCGGAACATCACCCTTCTCCATCCTCTTTGGATCAGCATGCCCTTCAATGGCCTTAATTGCTAATCGCCCCGTGTCGTCTTCCTTCTGAATGTCCGCCCAATCACTCGCCGTCTTACCACATGAATTCTCCCCAAATTCAATTGCGCCTTGGGTCTGTTCTTCATAACACTCTTGCAACGGAATTTGAGGCAACGGGAGTGCTGCTGGACTCCTGCCCCCGGCACCCCTTCCCCTACCCCACCAGCAACCCCTTCTCCCCGAGCGGCACCACCTCGACCCGTTCCACGCGCAGCAGCCCTGCTACTACGAGCATTACTGCCACCCCCGCCACCAGCAACAGCCCCACTCCCACGAGCGTTACTGCTACCCCCACCACCACCACCAGAGGCACTGCCCCCTCCTTGAGAAATAGCATACACTCGCGGTTTCCACCAATCCTAACAAGCGTCTGCCAACTTCCGTTAAAGGAACAGCATGCAATATCAGCCCTGGCTCAAACTGACCACTGACTACTTCCCCACTCGGTTCTACCAACCGGGCGTCATCAGCACACACGCACCATCAGGCAAAGGGTTGGACACGCCCTTTTCCCTTCGGATCAGCGCCCATGTCTTGTCTGCCAGTTCATCCGTAGTGAGGCTTGCCGNCCCCACCACCACCACCAGAGGCACTGCCCCCTCCTTGAGAAATAGCATACACTCGCGGTTTCCACCAATCCTAACAAGCGTCTGCCAACTTCCGTTAAAGGAACAGCATGCAATATCAGCCCTGGCTCAAACTGACCACTGACTACTTCCCCACTCGGTTTTACCAACCGGGCGTCATCAGCACACACGCACCATCAGGCAAAGGGTTGGACACGCCCTTTTCCCTTCGGATCAGCGCCCATGTCTTGTCTGCCAGTTCATCCGTAGTGAGGCTTGCCGATGTACAGCCACTATCCCTCACCACAAAATCATCGCGATGGTTCAACCCAGCGAGCGCCTCTCGCTCGTTGTACACCGGACCCAATCGCGAAGGTAGCACCCCGCTCGCATCTATCATGTAAACATCGAGATAGACGGATCAGTTAGCCTGACATCTGGTGCCTCATCCTCTTTCGTCGCAGGCAATGGCAACCGTGACATCAAATCGGCATTTGCATTCTCTCGCCCTGGTCGATACTTCAGTTCATACGTGTACGCTGACAGGAAGTCATACCACCTCTGTACGCGGTTGTTTTTTTCTGCCAAACTCCCCAAATTCCGCAAGGGTTGGTGGTCACTGTACACTTCAAAGGGGATGCCAAAAAATAGTGTTCGATTCTTCTTTATCGCCCACACTATCGCACCCGCTTCAAGTTCAGTCGGACTCCATCTTGTTTCATTCTCGAATGTTGATCTGCNTGTACTTCAGTTCATACGTGTACGCTGACAGGAAGTCATACCACCTCTGTACGCGATTGTTTTTCTCTGCCAAACTCCCCAAATTTCGCAAGGGTTGATGGTCACTGTACACTTCAAAGGGGATGCCAAAAAATAGTGTTCGATTCTTCTTTATCGCCCACACTATCGCACCCGCTTCAAGTTCAGTCGGACTCCATCTTGTTTCATTCTCGAATGTTGATCTGCAAAAAAAGCATAGCGGTCTAATACTTCCATCTTGTTGCTATTGCTCGATTTCGGCTCCCAAGCCCGAAATCGACGCATTAGCGGTCAACCGAAACGGCCGCTTTCCCGAGATCGCACCCTCATAACACGGGAATGCCAAAACTTCAGGACCAGACAGAATACCCTTCCTCACTACTGCCACATCATCAGCCGTGAACGCAATCTTCGCCCCCTTTTTCAGCATCGCATTGATCGGTTTCACTTTTGCCGACATGTTCTTCAGGAACTTTCGATAGTACGACAAGGACCCCAACAACGATCGCAACTGGCTAACGTTAGTGGGCATTGGTACTTGACGCAGCGGTCTGACCTTTTCCGGGTCCGGCCCGATTCCTTCCGCCGTGACTTGATGTCCCAAGAACGTCACCACCTTCACCCCCAGGTTCGTCTTCTTGGGTGCCAGTTTCAGGTTGAACTTGATCATGCGCTCGAAAAACATCTCCAGGTCGCGCATGTGTTCCGCCCCGTCCCTGGAAAAAACGACAACGTCATCAATAACCAGACGCACACAGTCCAGTCCGTCACATACTCTGGCCATCACCGAATGGAACCACCCAGGACCACCTCTGAGACCTTGAGGCACGGATAAAAATTCGTACAACCCCGTAGACGTGATAACAGCAGTGATCGAAATGCTGTCCTCCTCCATACTGCACTGGAAAAACCACTGGCCAAATCCAGTGTACTGAAGATTTTCGATTTGTCCAATTCCGCCAAAATATCCTCCACTTTCGGAATGGGCAATGTCAGGATTACACTCATTTTATTGATGCGCTTACAGTTGCCTTCGCGACTACCACCAGCGGACTCGCCCAATTGCTTGCTGTATGATCTCCGCAACACACCCGCCAACAGCAATTTGTCAATTTCGATCTGCACCTTTTCGTTAATAACCGGCGAATAGCGATATGGCCTCTGCCGCACTGGCTGTGCTCCCGGCTTCAAAATGATTCGAAACGGATCCGCCGTCACTCGTCCTAAATCCGAACCACCCTTCGAGAAACGATGCTCAAACTTATACAATAAATCACCTACTTTGTCAATGTCCTCCGGCTCCCACAGTTTCGCATTGAAGTCGAAATGGACGCCTCGAATGTGCGGAGGCACCCTCTGCCACAACGGCCTGAACGCCACCTGTTGCGCCCCATTCAAAGAAGACATAACATCAGCGGGAGGTTCGTCGTTAGGCATGTCAGCCTCTTCACCCTCCTGAACCGCAAATATATTGTTGAATTCCTCATTTTCCACCAAACGAGCATCATCAAAATTTACCGCCTCCAGGGGTTCACCACCATACCGCAAAATATCGTTTGGTTTCACCAGACACGAGCTCCTCCCCACTCTTCGTAGAGGAATTTCAGACGTGCCAACTTCGAGTAACGCTTCCTGCGGGAACCACTTCTTCCCAAACTGCACACGGTACGTCCCCACCGCAGCGTCACTGCCATCTAGGTTGGTCAATTTTATCTCAACCCATGACATTGCATTTGGAAGCCATCGTCTACTACCATCAGATTTCACCACCACCTTTCCATCACCTTCAGTTTCCACCATACCTACCGCGTTACTTACCCATTCATCAAAGCAGTGATCTCCTGTCACTTTATCAGTATTTGCACCGACAAAAGTGACAAATGTTTCTGTGTCCGACACGTCTTGGAATCTGCGAACTGGAAAGTCAGCCCATCTATCCCTCCCTAGTATCAGACCATGTCTCATGGCCGAGTCTGGCACAATATAACCATACGCACTCGTCCGTACCGTTGGTGTACCGAAATGAACCGGCGCTGATTTCCCGCCGCTCCACATTTCCATATTTAATCGCATTCTTCGATCTGTAACCAATGGCACCCCATGGAACCCACCCCATTTCTTGTTCAGCCCCGCTTCACTACTATTAGTTGAAGCGGAACCACATGCCAACATCTTTTGCACACACCTTTCTTGTACAAACGATGCCGGACTTCCCGTATCCAACAGAGCGTCCCACGACATAATCTTGATCGCTCTTGACCCCGCGAACACTTGCACTCAAGTCTTATGCCGATGTCGATCCATCGTCAAATCCCCACCGACCGACCGAGTAAATGGTGACAGGTAGTCTGCCGCTTCACCTGCAGCAAACGCAAAAGGAGGCGGAGGGTACACCGCGTCATTCCTTTGTCCTGACACAGAAGTAACAGATACTTTTACGGCAAAAATGCAATCTGTTCCTTCCTGTCCTTCACCAAAATTTTCTCCCTCCCCCGCTGTTACCTCAACCTCACGCTTGAGAGAATTTTCAGAGGCGGATGCATCCCCTATCACGCCCTCTTCTCTTATCACTGGCAAAGCAACAGTTTCATGGTTCTGCTTGCCCCCAGCACGATCAACGGTAACGCTTTCTTCCCTTCTTGTGTCCCGATTAATCGACCCCTATTCGGCACCATTTCGACCAACAGTGTGCTCCGCTTGAGGATACAGCGAACACCTCACTGCTCTCGGAGAGTTTGCCTTGCGTATTTCCTTTTGAGTGTTTAACGCATTCTCCGCTGGTGTTGCATTGCCATTAACATTCCCCATTCTGCCAATGATAAACTTCGTTTGATCTGACGAAGGGGGCGTGTTCGGCGCCCCTCCTTCCGGAAAATCCCTGTGTGTCTTACTCGTGATTGTTTCCTGAAGCTGTGCACGTACATCTTGCGACGCACTACGGCCAAGAATTTCTTGCGGGGTACTAGTCCTCAATACATTCTTGCTCCCACGACCTACCTACATAAGTGCAGTTCAATTTATCAACACCCGAAACCACTTGCAGTTTGGGATAATTACTTCCACCCTGCTTGGAATACTCCTTAGATGCTGAAAAACGTCGCTTACCGTGGTTGGACAAGACTTTCCCCGTCGCCAGGTCATCACCCTCGGTGTTGTGCATCACCGATCGGCCCCCCTCCTCCTCAACAATCCCACCTTCCGAGTCGTCTTCGATGTTCTCGCGTGATGATTGTTTTCTCTTTACCCCAGCCCCCCCGAGTCTGTTTTGATCCCGGTCCTTGGCTCTGCTTTCTTCCCTTCTGCCCGCGATATTTCCTTTCGTCATCACAATACCCTGGACCTCCTTCACCCTGCACCATCACTCCTCGAATTTCTATTTATTCTCGCAATACTTTTCACCCCTCTCACCCTTCACCTTCACCTCTCGAGATTTGTTTTAATCTCGCAATACCGTGCACCCCTTTCACCCTTTTGCCCGCGATATTTCTTTTCGTCATCACAATACCCGGGACCACCACTCCTCGAGATTTGTTTTTTATCTCGCAATACTTTTCACCCCGTTCACCCTTCACTTCCACCCCGCAAGATTTATCTTGTATCTCGCTGGTTCCTTTCTTCCACCTCCCCCATATTGGACACCAGACTTTGGAGAGCCTCCACATTACCCCCAAAATGCGAATGTAACAAGTCAAGGATCGCAATCGATGTGTCTGTCACGTTCCCCCCATCCGCTGACTGCCCACCAAGGGACTCTCCCTCCCTTCCACCGCCCTCGTCCGAGGCACTGCCCCTTCCACCATCCTCCTCCACCTGGGCACCAGCCCTCCTCTTGCGATTGCCTTCATCCTTCACGGGCCCTTGGTCTCCGCCATTACCTGACGTGCGAGAAATAAAATGACCCGTGTCAGGTGTCTGTTCTGTTTCTGCGCATTTCGCTTGTTCGACGCATGTAGTATTCCTCCCCACCCCTCTTACTCCTTGGCGCTAAAACCTGAAACCCTGGCATTGCCATTGCCTCCATTGCCATCCTCTGATCTGCGCTGAGGCGCTTTGCCCCTGCCCCCGAGCCTCTCGTCAGACTCCTTCCCCGACTCGCAGACACATGACTCTCCCACATCTCTCTGCCCCGATCTCAATCTGCGCCAGCCCTTTTGCTAGACTTGAAGACACACCTTTTTCCAAGTCACCCACCGCCGTTCCACCACCATCGTGCGACACACTCCCCCTCCCAGCGTGCGCAATACCCACATAACCCCCAGGCCTTCCACCCTTTCCCCCAGAGACCTCAGCCTCTGTCCGTGGTGTATCCTCGGATGTCTGCTGTACCCTCTTAGATAGCACTTCCCTTGTCTGACGTGAGTCTCCAACTTCAACGTCTCCACCCGACCACTTTTTCCCTTCCTCCCGAGGTCTCCCTGCCAACGCTTCCCCTTTCACAGACAGCGCTTTAGCCGCCGACTCATCCCCTCCCGTCGGCAACTCATCCATCCCACCGCCCTTAGAACCACCGCCACCCCTGTGGTCCGAGTGTCCAACCCTCCCTTCATCGCTGTTCACTTCCCCCCCCTCACCTCTCTGTGCCATGGGAAGAACACACCGCAAGCGGTGCGCTAAACACGTCGCCCCTCCTTCGGTGCCAGTGACGTGGAATCGGCCTGCGGTGTTTGCGCGTCTCGAAGTTGCTTGCGATCAAAGTGTGTTTCTTAGGCCTTCGTGGGCCGGGAACAGCAGGGAAATCAAACACTGAAAAAAGGGGGGCACGCGACGTCAGCTGACGCGAGCGAATTGCGCCGCTCTACCTGTACCTAGCCAACTGCGCCGCTTCGCTTTCCCTCCAACTCTCTCTCCCTCTCTCTCAACTAACTGCAGTTCCCTCATAAGCTCATCATTCCAACCATAAACCCACACCTCCTCAATTCTAGTCTCCAACTCATACACTTTTCATGACCTTATTTGACGGTATCTCAACCAGACCTAACTCCAACCCTGCTCCCAGAGCCATGATTTTCAAGTCCATTGCATCACGCCTCAACATATAGTCTATACTGCGATTAACCTATCCCAAGTCTTCTTACCCTGACCTAACCTAGGGTTGACTTATTGCACGACACAGCGCGCGCGGCGTTGCGAGCGTGTCACCGCCGTGGTTGTGTTATTGTCGAGCAGCAGCTCGCTGTAGCAGGGTGCTTACAGTCATGGCGCGACAAGCACGAGGGACCATGGCAGCCGGGCGGTACGCGGAGTGCATAAAACTCACCACGATCGTGCGCAAGTGGGTGAGGAAGACCTATTTCTCGTCCTTGGGATGTACAGCCTGCGGCGGGCTTGGCAGATGTACGAGTGCGCCACGCGGGAAAGCCTAGCGTGCCACACTCCACCACACTCCAGAACAAATCTCCTCCGACGCTTTAAGCAACGAACTCTACTCCTCACTTGGTCTTGGCCTCCTGCAGATTTGCCTTTGTGGTGTGCTGTTGGAACTGGTGTCGGTTCGTCCCTCTGCTACCTTCATCCTACAGGTTGAGCGCCTGACCAAAATGATCCTGTCCACAAACAACAAGTTCCGGTGCCCATTTTCCGGTAAGAAATGCGGCGTAACCGGAACAACATACCGCTACCCGCTGCCGGACAAACGGCCGCCTACCGGAAGTTTCTACCCTAGACTATTCTTGTAGGGGAACCCCTCCATTATATGTGCTCTCGTCTTCAACTTATTCTATACCTTGTCTGTGTCATTTTGTCGGCCGTGAGGGACCTTGAGGTTGCTAGAGGCACCGACGGTAACTCTGAACCTATAGCTTCAGTGTCATCCTTCGATATCCGTGGGTGGAACTTTCATTCGCATCGCCCACCCCTTGTCCGCCCCTGTCTCATATGCTGATCTCGTGCTACAGCAGTGCAAATCCTGTGACGCTTCAAGTATGGTTCGGTAGGGAATCGCAAACCATGACCCCTCTATTCGATAAACTCGTATCATAGCATGGGGGTTGTATATTACATATGCGGGTATTGCAGTGACGAACTACGGAGGAACAAGAAGTTTCTTTATGTTTTCCTTGGGAGTGTGGTAGATTGGTGGACACATTCATGGAGATTCGTTTTGGGTGTTTGAGCGTTATGCGTGACTTGATGCCGTGATGGAATGACGAGCTCAAGCACGCCCCCGATGAATAAACACGTTTTCCAACACGTTTTTCCACACGTTTGTACGACTTTACCTACCCCTACGGCCCGTCATGGCCAAGCTGCTCTACACTCCCATCACACACAACTGAGCCACCCGAATAATCGATCACGCTAGCGTATGACACGTCGTCTACGAGATTCGCGTCGAGTTTGGTTTGGAGTATCGCTTTGCGGCGATCAGCAGCTGTCACCGATGTCAAGCGCCGACCAAGAACGAGGCGCCCGTCACGCAGAAGACGAGGACGCCTGCATCAACGAGTTGGTGGAGATGAGGGTACAACAACGACTGGCCGACATAAGACGGCAACAAGACGAGGAGGAGCAGAGGACAGAGAACGTCCGGACCGGAAGCGAGCACGAGGCACGCCACCAGCAACAAGCGGGGCGGCCATCGGCGAACCCGGCCGTAGATGACATCGCCCGCACTCTCGCCGACGCCGTGACCAGCCGCCTTCAGGTATCACCCGCAGACACGGGTAGAGTACCAAGTAGCCCAGCGACCCTTAGAATGACTGAGGCTAAGCGCCTAGCGCCTTGGGATGGGATTTTTAGGCAAGGGGAAGATGAGCAGGCAAGATTTTTTATTTTTCGATCGAACATGATTGCTATGTTTGCGCAAGAAGGAGTCAGGGAAGTGGTATTGAGTGACCACAGAATTCCAGTCGGGCTCGAAGGAATAGACATGGAGGACTTGCGTAGGATGCACTCGCCTGATAGTGTAGAGAAGGCAATTACGGCGTGGAACCTGCTGATCACGTCTGTAACATACATGCCTATCCTCACCCAGATTATCACTGATGGTAGTCCAAGTGGAGGTTGGAAAATATGCCTCAACTATTACGAGCCGCGTGCCAGAGCCGAGAAGGAAAGGTTGTCATCCCAATACCACGGTCTTGAGATGAAATCAGGAGAGACCCCCCAAGAATACTTCGGGAGATTTGCTGTTTTGCGCAGTAGGCTAGCCTCGCACGGTGTTACTTTCTCCGACGAAGATGCCAATGCCCACATGGTGTACCACCTTTCCGACGAGTACACGATGGAAAAGAAAATTCTGACTATGTCACCGATTCCCCCCTCGCGCGAAAAAATCGAAAAGGGTGTACGAGATGCCCATGCGGAATTGCTTCGCCGNTTTAGCGACGAGTACACGATGGAGAAGAAGATTCTGACTATGTCACCGATTCCCCCCTCGCGCGAAAAAAACGAAAAGGGTGTACGAGATGCCCATGCGGAATTGCTTCGCCGTCGTGAGGAGGAACCAAAGAATGGCGCGGGGCACGCGTTTGTCGCTTCCGGTGGTATCCGGGGCGATGGACGTGTCCAAAATGGGTCGAGTGGAAACGGCGGGGGACAGGACGGAGACGGAGGCGCCCGGAGTCGGAGCAGGAGCAGAGGGAGAGGAAACAAGAAAGCAGGAGAGAGCGGAGCCGACAGCGACCACTGCTACCTACATCCGCACTTGTCCCACACCAACGCCCAGTGCCGCACTCAACGCGACCGTCAGAAGAAACAGGAGCAACAGCAGCCTCAGCAACAGCAGCATCAGCCACAGCAGCCTCAACAGCAGCATCCCCAGCAACAGCAACTTCATGGACCGCCGCAGCAGCAGCCGAGCTACAGCAGTGGGGGGGGCTGGGGCGGTGGGCCTCAGCACGGACCTCACAGCGGCTACGGAGGACAGCATCAGCACAGGTATGCAGCTCCCCCTCGTCCGCCACAGCCGCCGTGGCGGCCTCCGTACGGGCATGCAAATGTGACGCATGCGAATAGTGCTATGCCTGGCTATGCCCTACGGGGGGTCCGCGTATGGTAGCGAGTATGGGGGTGGGAGCATAAACAACAACAACAGCAGTAGCAGCAGCAGCAGCAGCAGCAGCCTTCGCCAGACTACTACCAGCAACAGCCGTACTACCCGCCTCCGACGTCGTACTACCAGCAGCAGCAGCCACCACCGCAGCCTCCGCGACCGCCGTCGTTTCAGCCGCAGCAGCAGCAGCAGCAGCAGCAACACTTCACCCATGCCCCGCCCCAGTCGCCTTCTCCCGGAGCAGCAGCTTTTCCGCCTGGGCATCTGCACTCCCTGATGGCACACTTTGTGTCCGCTGACGAGATGAGTTCGCTTTCGGTTTCGAGTGATGTAGGCAGTGTCGCATGTGGTGATCTTGGTTTTTCTTTGTCTGCCCAGAGTTGCGAGTACAGTCCTGGTAGGGAAGTATTTTGGTCTGATAGCGGTGCAAGCAACCATTTTGTGAGTAACAGCTCCAAAATGTACAACATCTCGCCTGTTCCCCCCGGCAAAGAATACATCAGAGTAGGCAATGGTGCTCATTTGCGCGTGGAGTGTGTCGGTAGTGTCAATCTGGCATTCCATATGGCAGGAGGCCGCTCGGGAGAAGTGGATTTTTGTGCCCAATTGACAGACGTGTACGTGGTGCCAGGAATTTCGTTCAACTTGTTCTCCCTGCACCAAACGCAGAAAAAGCACAGGATAGTGTTGGATGAGAGGGGTGTGCACCTTTTCGGCGGTCGGCTTAGTTTCGCATATTCGGATATCGGATGCTCTCTATCGGCCACCCGCTTGCCTCCCTCGTACCGCGACGGTGATGTAGTCCCCTCTACCGTTGTCCCTCCCCCCGTTGTCCGCCAAGCGTCTGGCGTTGGCACTGGCCTTTTCGCCCAAAACCCCCCTCCCCCTTCTCAGATTCCAGGATCGGGTGCAGGGTACGGTCCGAGTTCGAGCTTCCCGTCCACCGCTCCCGCCGATGTTGCACCTTCGACTTCGAGCTTCCCGTCCATCGGTACTGCCGGTGTTGTACCT